TTTCTGAGTGTCTTAAATTTAATTGTTCTCTTTCCAAATCTTAAGTATGTTTTGCTTTTATACTTTCATATCTATTTTTCTGATTATGGAAATGATTACAATGCATTGAAAACAATCTTCAAGAATAACCAACATTTAATATCAAGTGTACTGGTTATCTGCCTTTGTCCATAAATTTTCAAAGAATTTAATGTAAATCTTTCATTTTTCCCTATGTTTACTTTCTACTCTCTCAGGACTATTACCGTATATTCACATATTTTATTTGATTTGCTTACATAAGTAATTACTAGCACAAATGAAATTTCAGAGTCTTCTCATGTATCACACAAATGTGCCTCATTTATACTTCAGAAAGAGGAGATGAATGAGAAGTTTTAGACTGTGCAGACAACAGAGCATAGGTTGTAACTCTGGGTTCACACTGCCTGGATTTGAAGCCTGAATCAACTTTTGTGACTGTTACTTATTTTTGGGTGCAAAATCATTCTGATTTGTAAAGCAGAGTTGACAATGACACCTAATGTTTCTTGCTTTCTAATTTTTTTTCCATGCTGATGAGGTTCTTCTCATTTAAGATTCTTGTTTCTTCTCCTCTCTAATACTCAGGCTTTCTTGGATGCCAAAAGGGTTGCATTAGAATTAATGGCACTGTGATTATACTTAGATTGGAAGTTTGAAGGAACCCCTTTCATGGGGGAAAAAAAAGACACCACCAAAAGCAAGGATTCTTTTTTACCTGCTGTTCTTTCTGGGGAACCATCTGAAAAGGACAGCAAGTGTCCTATACTGCCATAACAGGCAGTAGACAAGTCACCTGAGATTCCCCATTGCCATTGAGGGCAGCTTATTTCCCTCACAAAGATATGAATCACATGATTTGTGGAAGCTTTTTTTGTAATTAAAAGGTGATATTTAAATCATCTGATAGATTCCACATTTTCTTACTTCTTAACTGGTACAGATTAGAGGAAATAAGCAGACTTCCACACCTCTCACACAAAACACTGAAGAAAAATTATATTTCATGATAATCAGAAAATGATGTTTTTAATGTAAGTGTATACCTACAAACACGAGCATATAAACACAAATGTGTATATGTTTATGTGGTTGTACATGTAAAATTAGATTATGTCATATATTAATTTTAAGCTGTGTTACTTCCTCTTGCTATAAATTTTATTATTTCTTATACAATATCAAAATAACTGGTCAAGATTTACCATAAGTGATGTATTAGGGACTAATCACCAACATTAAGCAGAATTGAAAGGCACCCCATAATCATGTAACTATAAAGGTGTATGTGGACATACATGCTTTTGTGAGACGTAAGGAACTTACAAAACAAAGCATGCCAAATTGCTGAAATTATTCACCTCAGACAGGTAGTAATTCAGCGCCAGCAAGTGATAGACATTTTTTTCCTTACTCAACTTTAGTTTTAAATGTATAAAACAGAATGTAATCCTTAACAATTTACAAAATGTATAAAGAAAAATTGCCACTATGCATATATATAGCCATATTTATCTATCTATCTATCTATCTATATATATATATATATATATATATATTAACTAGTTTATTCTGAGAAATTAGGCTTTATATACATTTGGTGTAGATAGTAATCTATTTTATACTCTACATTAGACATAAAATTTGACTCCGTGTATTTACTCCAAGTTAACTTATGATCAGTATAAATGCTAGTTTGTCTCATAACCACATTTGCCTTATGATCAATAATACACATTACAATATCATTCCTATGAATTCCATTCTCTTATTGTGTTTTGACATTATAAATATAAAAGTTCTCTATTTTCTGTTTCACAAAAACATAAAATATGATTTAATTACACTCTTGCATTTTAAAGACATATTAAATTTTAGTTAGAAAAATACTACATATATATCCAAAGAATTAAAACTGTTTGCCCATTGTTACTTCAATATTTATGGTTGGTCACAAAACAAGCAATTCCCTTGCCTAACCCATTCTATACATACCAGGTCCACAGAAGAAAGCGCTTTCCTGCACATACAGTAAAGGCACAAGATAAAAAGTATAATATTATGATACAGACTAACAGAAATAATCAGCATATCTTTTTGTCCCTACTGAGTAACATTTACATAGTCTATGATTTTACTTTGACACTTGGAAAGGCAAAAGGAATTATTTCAAAGCAAAAATTTCAAAGGCTAGTAAACAATGTTTCTGTTGTTAGAGGAAAAAGGAAAGTAAAATTCAAATGCCAATGCACCTCATGCAAACTACATAATTCAAATAAAATTGGGTAAAAGATCTGGAATACATAATGAAATACATATTTGAGTACCAGTCATACATAAAAATTTGACTGGTATATAATGACACCTGAATGACCCTGCATTTCTGGATAATACGAGCTCATTCCTGTACACTAAATTTCTTTAAAATATACTTTTTCTGTTTAAGTTTTCCTTCAGTGTGCATGATTTTAGTGGTTCACGTTCAACACAGCACCTACAGGATTTCCATATTAATAAAACAATCTTACCACACACTGAACTTAATGTCAGAGACTCTGTCATCTCAAATTACATCTGCCTTTTCCACTCAGGTGCATATTCCTGTACAATTCATCTCATTTCTTATTTTCCTCAGATATGATATTTTGAAATATTTTATTATTCAATGTACCTGTCAGTTAGTAATTTGGGGTCCTGTTTTATTTTATCAGCAGAAAAATAGACTAAAGGAAAATATATTGACTATATTTTAATCAGTGAGCAAGTAATTAAACACCATCCCCATGCAATTAAAACATAAGAAGGGCATTAGTAGATTTTTCTACTGATGAGTTTATAACAAAATGTGACATTGGGAGGTGAAGCTTGGTCTGAGGAGGTTGTCACTGGTGATATGGATTGGAATAATATACAGTAAAACCCTGGACTATAATAACTTGTTCTGCATGCATTCAACAAGATGAGCAAACAATTCTAAGAAATTGTAACTTGATAAACAAGTGATATCTTACAGTATCAGTATGTATATCTAACTTCACATGATCACAACTGAGCCAGTGGTTTTTCTCTGTCCCTTTCTTTACGTTTCTAAAGGATTGTGGATGAGCAAGTTCCAATACTAAGAGATTATGGAGGAGTTCTCATTTGCAGATGAGGAAGAGAAAAAGGCAGAGGAATCCCTCCCTTCAAATCATTATAAGCAGTTGAGTTAGACAGAAATATTATATGCAGTCACACAGGGCGAGGCCCTTGGAGAAGTCAGTGCAGAAGATGAGATACCTTGCAACTGTGGGGGAGACAGACACCTCCCATTGTGGGCCAGACCTCAAGACAAAGATCAAAGAAATGCACTCACCTACTTCCTAAGCATAAGCATCAGGGATTGATAGTCCAGCTAAACCTCTATAACCCTGAGGAAGACAAGAGTCACTAGCTCAACCTTGTACAGGAAGAGTCACTGATCTTTATGCATGCCTGCTTGCTACATGACTGGCTTCCCCATTTGTCCTTGATTTACTCAATTTTACCTGAACAGTTTGTCATTGGTTGGCCATAGTACTGTCCCACCTCATGCCCACCCTTGCGAGTTCCCATGTTTTCTCCAATTTAGACCTGCCTCACTTTGTGGTTTTGCTCTATAAAAGTTCCTAGAAAAGAGAGTCTTTGGCAACCCACGTGGAACCACTTCTGTCTCTCTCTCAGACAACAGTTTTCTTTCTCTCAATAAATGTATTCTGCTCTTAAGTCCATTGCTCCTAGAATTCAGTCTTTGATTTTAGAGAACACAAACCCCTGCCAGACATCTACTAGGTTGGGAGTTTCTTTCTCCCATATCAAAATGAGATTAAAACACTGTATAAAATATGGGAAACAGGGCAATGTTCTACAGAAAAGCACTACGAGGATAAGACTAGAAGCATAAGTGAAGTCTGTTTAATGACAATGCAGTTTCACATATCCACGAAATTCTCTAAAGGATGCAAAAATGATTGTCAATGGATAGTTCCTTGTTAAAGCTATGAAAGTAGAATAAGATGCCACTGAGCCAATAATTAGCAGTGATTCCATTAGTGAGAGTCCAAGTCACCCTCCACAATAATCCTCCTCTCTCATGTCCCTCACACCAGCCAAAAAGGTTTTCAAAGGTAATCGCATTTTTCCTTTATATTCTGCATTATCTTTATTATTTTTATATTACAGTATGTAATCACTTATTTTTGGGTTGCAGCACCAATTATCTGAGTTACAATTATTTCTTATGTGGAAATTCACTTTGATATACAAGTATTTTGGATTACAAGCCTGTTTCCACAACAAATTATGCTCACAAGCAAGGTTTTATTGCTTCTTCCTCTCTCTCCTTTTGATCTCTTTCTGGTTACTTTACCAGGAAAGGAACTGTTTCTCCTCTGCCATCTCCTGCTGCTAAGCTTCCCTGTTTTGGAGCTAGCCAACAACAGACTGAAACCTCTACAAACTGTTAGCACAAATAAACCTTTACTTCTTTAAATTGTAGGTGACTGATACTGTATCTTGGCAATGAGGAAGTAACTGGAGATGGGGTTAATTAGAAATTTGGTTAATACTTGTGCTGAATGTCATTCAGTGAAACAGTAGACTTGTAAAAATGTTATCATGTATCTTCACTCACTGTACTCACTGGCTCTGGCACAATGTGACTTCCGGCTTTTCCCCAATATCAGAATGACCACAGAGGGTAAAACTCTGAATCAATTCAGGAAATCAAGCCAGCTTTAACAATGCAGCTAAAGCCACTTGAGAAAGATGATTTCACAACTGCTTCATATAGTATTAAGAATTGTGGGATGAATGTGTTCAAAGCAAAGGGAAATATCTTGGATCAATTACAATGTTTATTTTCACGAAATAAATTTTCAATTTAAACACTGATTCTATTTTTTATCACACTATGTATTTTGAAGGATTCAATGTGAACTCATCTCCATTCAGTAACTTACCCAAGACCGTGAGCTCTGCAGAGGCACTAATATTCTCATTCTTATAGGTGACAACACAGGTATAAGTTCCACTGTCATCATCTGTCACATTGGAGATAAGCAAGTTGCTTCCACCCAATAGTGAATACTTTCTAGACCTGTAAAATATAGACACTGATAGTAATTAACACACATGTATACCTGGCCAGGTTCTTAAATGTTTAAATGAACTTCTACACAAGCTCAGATTATAAAATTGAAAAGATACCCCTATAATGGGGACTTTGTAACGTCTCACTTATTGAACAGAAATTAATTCAAGATAAAGTTTACTCGGTGGAAGGCTGTGCACAAGAGTTAAAGAAATGAAGCAAATTAAATTTGCAACTAAATTTAAGTGCTAAAGAAAAACCCTAACATTTAATCTAGTCCTATTCTCTCATTTTATATTTGGAGTCTTTAAGTTTTAAAGATGTGGTTCTCAGAGTATAAGACAATCCCCTGTGTCTGACATAATCCAGTGATTCTGTATAAAGCTCCACTTCATACTGAACCAAGAGTATCTGGCTTTACGCAAAGAACACACCAGAAAGTGCATGCTGAGGCTGTAACCAGATTTCTTATGTACTTTAATGATCTCAGACACGTTGTGATACCAGGTGTGGTGTGACACCTAACAGGCATCATTGTTGCCTAAATATATATTAAAGGTAGATGAAATTTACAAATTAATTTTTGATCTATGGGCCTATCCTGTAGAAAATAAATGTGCTAAAAATAACATTGCCGGTACTCCAAATCAATGAAGTTAATTTCTTTAAGTGAGATCCATTTAATCAAAATGTTTTAGACTAACTATGGCCCTTTATTAAGGGCTTACATCCTCACTGTACATTATTACTAATAGTCCATTAATTTAAGACTAGCCACATTTTCCTGTCTTACCTTAAATATTTGTTATAGCTTGGATATCAGAGGCATAATTGAAGCTAAAAATGGCACACTACATATTTAACTCAGAAAATGTTAGATTCCTTTCTCCCTCATATTTATTAAAGTAAAACTAATAACTGAAAATTGTATTCATGGCTTATAGCGTGATGCTTTATGTGTTGAAATGTGAAATATGTATATTTGGCATAAAACGATTACATCAAGTTAACTAACCTATATATCACCACACATGTTTGTTGGTTATACACCATGTGTGGTGAGGTCATTTAAGATCTAACCTCTCTGTACTATTTCTTAGAAAGAGAATCACCAAATATCCTTGCACAGGCTGTAGAGAGGACCATCTCAATGACCACCCTGGTTTCCTCATTTTTGTTTCCCGGTTGATCCTATGGATTCAGATTCTTTTTCCATGCCCTCATCCCAGTGGCAACATTGTCTTTCATACACTCTATCATACCATTGAGTATGGAAATATATCCAGTTTTTATGAGAGACTTAGTATTGCTAGGGGGTTATATCAAATTAGAGAAAGATAAACAGGAACATATTCGAGACAAAAGTGATAAATATATAATACCTGAGTTGAATGACTTCCTCGCCTCGTAACCAGGTAAAACTTGGCGGAGGATAGCCAGAAACACAACACTCTAGGACAGCATCTCTTCCCTCAATGGCTACAACATTGGATGGTCTTTGCAGGAAATACAGTTGTCTGTGCAGTCCTGGATCTACAGAAAGAAAACACAAAAATCATTTATTTTATTAAAAATTGCAAAGATAAATGACATTTAAAAATCTCTTTAATTTCAATTAAAGAAATTTAAATAAAAAATTTAATTAAATTTCTTTAATTAAATGTTTATTGTATAAGAAGACTAGAGGTGAAAGGGAAGAAAGAAAAGGTGGAAGATGCCAGTGAAACTTAAAAATAATGTTGTAAAGAGTTCTGAACCATCAGAATCTAGGATTACAGCACAGAATAACTGTAAGCTGGTTAGGTATCACAGTATAAAGCCAAGGATGAAAGCTGAAGTCTACAGGTAGCTCCTTCATTCTGTAGGCCTTGCTTATTGATTATCATTGGCAAATGAAGCAATAGTATCAGTAATTTTACTGAACGTCATTGGAGAATTTTGATGTGTTCAACTTATTTGTCATTAATATTTGTTTTAATTATTCTGCTTATTTATTATTTTTGGGGCTTGATATACAAGGTAAACAAAATATTAGAATTGTATTACATAACATACATGTACTGAAGATTAGAACATGAAAATTTGAGAAAATACCTTTCTTTAAAAAGGTTACACTTATATAACTAATGTTTTATTGTTTGTTTTATAACAAGTGTGGCTTTGTTCTGGTCTTTTTAATTTTGAGCAACATATCAAAGAATGAGTTTGTTCTTAAACCTGAGATCCCGGGTAAAGGAAATGCTCAGTATCCTTCTACTTCATCTCACAAATCACTTGTTCTATACTTACGAAGTGTTCATGTTTACACAACTTAAGAATTCACGTTACTCAAACTTAGATCTCATTTGGTTCAAAGGCAGTGATATAATACTAGACCAAAAAAGCAAACTGGAGAATCATAAGCAGAGTAAAGGTCTTCCCATTTCTCTATAGAAGCGCTGTGTATAATCATAGGGACCCAATGTATGCTTAGGTGGGCTTGCAGGAGACTGTCCACCAGCAATTCCCTTTGACCTGACTGCCTAACGTAACCAAATTTTGATCATTGAAAGTTGATTTATTTAAAATAAAATGCTGTGTTTCTGAATCTCCATTAAAATCCATATCTTTCTAGGAATGTTTAATGAAAGTGTGTGTGTGTGTGTGTGTGTGTGTGTGTGTGTGTGTGTGTGTGATACTGATAATTAAACCCAGGGCCTTCTGAGATACACCCCCAACTCTCTCTCTCTCTCTCTCTCTCTCTCTCTCTCTCTCTATATATATATATATATATATATATATATATATATATATTCATTTATTTATTTTGAGACAGGATTTTGTTACATTGTTAAATTGCCCAGCATGGGCTTGAACCTGCGTTCTTCCTGTTTCAGTATCCCAGAGTGTTGGAATTACAGGCTACTCCTCCTGGCTGTTTTCAACTTAATGCATTAAGTAGAATCATTCTGGAACCTATCATGTTGAAAACTCAAGTTAAAATATTGATGGAAAGAAAACTAGGCAATGAACTCTTGTGGTTTAGTATTAGGATGGCTGGAGACTTGCTGAGTGACATTAGATTAAACTGTGCCATATGAAGCAGAGGTGGCTGGGCACCAGAAAGGAAATGAGGAGAGAAGGAAAATTGGACACATTTAACACTGTTATTAATATGCCTTGTTCTAACTTATCTCCATATGGATTGATCACAGAAAAATAAAAGAACAGCAATTCTCAAGTTAATAGTTGGAAGTGTAAGTGTCACATAAAGAAATGTGTGTGAGAAAGATAAATTCACACTTTTTCATTTTTCTCATACTTTGTGGATGTTTCAGCAATAAAAGTAAATACTCTTCACAATGAAAATATTGAAGCTATTTTCCAAATGTGCTGATCCTTATTAAACCAACATTTTTAGAAAAGCCTCAAAACTTTTTGAATACTGCTAGTGACATTCTATTTTCCTTGCTGAAAGTCACCTTGCAAATTAAATGAACACAGTTAAAAATATTGTAGTGTTTAAATTATTTTTTGGTGAAATGGACAAGTTCCCAAAATGTACATTTCCAAATATCTGTCATAACGAGAATGAAGGACTATTCATCTAAAAACTTTGGTTTCACTCTGTCTCTCAACAGAAACATTTATACTCTCATACTACGTAAGGCTATTCTACAATGTCACCATTGGAAACCATCACCCAAGATCCACTTACTTTGACCTTCTAAGTAAAATAGAATTGCCTGGTAATGTTATGTACAGGTAAATTATTTAACAATGGGGCAGCCAACATTTCACTTCAAGCTATATATTTTAAAAGAAAACAAAATTATGTAATATAAGCTCGTTCAGTTCTAGAATATTTAATTTATTTTTTGCTTACCAAAACTTAAACAATGTTCAGTCTCCATGTACAATCTATCAGGACATTATCCCTAGTCATTCAATGGCCTTAATTACAAATATCTTATATTAGTATAGCACAGTACATTTGTTACATTTAATGAATTATTATGAAACAGTATTAACTCTATTTTATATAGGTTGTAAACAATACATATCAAATATTTAATATTAAATTATCATACAGTACTTTCGCTACCTAAAAATTCCCTAAACTTCTCTTCTTCGTTATTCTCACCTCAAGCAATCAGTAATCATTGTTTTGATTTTTTCAGAATGTTCTATTAATGGAATCCCATTGTTACTCTTTTCTATAGGAAATTTTTCATGTAGAAATACACATTTAACATCCCTCAATCTCCTTTGTGACTTAATAGCTTGCTTTTACTGATCACAATACTCTCTAATTGTTTAATATACCACAATTTACTTATTCACTTATTGAATAACAATATGTTGTTTCCAGATTTTTGATGATCATGGGAAAATCTGCTGAAAACATGCATATATACATTTTTAGTTAGACTTTTTATAACTCAAGCAAATTGATAGCTGGAGATACAACAGCTAAATTATATGGCGATGCTAAGGTTAGCTTTATAGGAAACTACCCAATTATCTTCCAATGTGGCTACACAAATTACCACTGCTACAAGCAATGGAGCAGTTCCTGTTACTGTGCAGTCCAGCTAGCACTTGGTATTTTCATGTTTTCACATTTGATCCTTTATGTGGTAATATATCAGTTATTCCAACTTGCAGTCCATAATACACGACATTGAACACATTTCATATGTCTTCTTTCTGTCTATATACCTTCTTTGGTGAACTATCCATCTAAATCTTTTTGGGTAATTTTTAAATAGTTGGGTTCATACCATTGAATATCTAAAGTTCATCGTGTATTTTAAATATGAATGCTTTATCAGATGTGTGTTACATAAATATTTTCTCAGCCGTTGTCTATTTTACTCCATTCACATTGGTTATTGAAGAGCATTAAGTTTATAATTTTAATAAAGTCTAACAGCATTTGTTTTCTTATGTGATTTCTGTCAGGTGGTGTACCTCAAAGTTCGTTATTACATAGGAGATCACTTATATTTCCTATGTTATCTTCTAGAAGCAGCCTAGTCTTGTATTTTACATTTAGGTTAATGTATTAATTCTGCAAAGGTATAAAATATTCATCTAGAGATTTATTTTGGTTTTGTTTTTTTTTGCATATAAACCTTTGATTGTTTCAGCACCATTTCTATACTGGTTTGAAACTGTTTCTTTGTAAAAGACTGGTTGATTATATTTGTGTGGGCCTATTTTTGAGATCTATCCCCTTGCTTCTATTATTTTTTTATTCTTATAACTGTATTGGAATTTGTGAGGTCATGTAGCATCTACTCTCTGACTTTGTGCTTCTTTCTCAGTTATGCTCAGTATTCTGGATCCTTTTATGTATAATCTATAGAAAAAATTTGTTGAAGCCCAAAAAATAACTTTTTAGAATTTTTGTATTTATTTCAAAATACCGATAGTCTTAATATTACTGGGCTCATGTTGCCCTAAATAACCTGCTGTATATTATTATTATTATTATTATTATTATTATTATTATTATTTGTATTTTCACTGGTACCAGGGATCGAACTCACAACGACAGGCTTGCAAGGCAGGCGCTTATGCCGCTGAGCTAAATCCCCCCCTCCCCTCCGCTGTATATTATATATTGTTATTTTAGAGGTAGTTTTTCAAGTTACAAAATTTAAGCATAAAAAATGAATAGATAATCAACAATGTATTAACTAATGTTAGTTTCTTACTGTTCTTTTCTAAATTCTGTACTATTTCTACTCTTTTTTCTGTTTTGCTTTTTAAAAATAAAAAATTACCTGATGTAAGATTTTTGATTGAGCAGTGTATTCTAGGTTATCCTAACCTTGAGCTGGTCCATCTCAGTTAGGTTTACTCTCTAACTGAAGTTTGTGAGCCTGATCACATGTATAGAAATATTAGCATTTGGCAGAGAAATCTGGTTTCATTTCCCCAAAGATATCTATTTACATGTCATTTATTACATTTTAGTAACAAGGAAGTTCCCATAAAAACTATTAGAAATTCTCTTTAATAGAAAGTAGTTTATGCTTCACAACATTTGTGCAGATTTCATATGATGACAAAATATTTGATGTTCTACTAATTCAGCAGTAAATATTGTTTCCTTTTCCATCAGGGTTGGCCTGGCTCTGTGTTGTTTTAATCAACAGGTTTAACGGGAGTTATGGTGTATGCACTGCGGAAAAAAGGGAATCTGCCATTGCTCTGACATTATCAAGTTAGAGTAAAAACTGTATAGTATCATAGCATATGGAAATCACCAAACCTCAAACAACAGCAGAATCAACTACAAGACACATGAGTGAGGCAATCTATACAAGAATGGACCCAAGTGAGAACAAGAATTATGAGATACAAACTCAGAATTTTAATAAATAACAAACCGCTACTATCTTAAGACGGTGAATTGGTAGTGGTTTGCTTGTCATCAAAAGATAACTAAAAAAAACCACAAAGTACAAAAAAAATCAGTAAATTTTTTTTTTGTTATTGTTTTTGTCTGCGTTAGGTTTCTGATTTTGTTCTGAGAAGGTGAT